TGTATATATTATATGTCGTATAAAACACCCACACGCAACGAAGGTAAGTCAATAATCTAATGATTAGGAATATTATAAACTAGCGACTCACCCTCGCTCCGCTCGGGTTCATCCCTAGTTACATTTTAATGTTTTATATACATTTCTCAGAGATGAGATATTTTCCCGCAGTAAAAGGTATTCTATATGTTGATCCGGTTAACCAGCTATCATCATATCAAGTTTTATCAAAATCTATCCAGTAGTTTTCTCGTGATGCGGTCACAGACAGACTGACCAGAATTCTAAGAACTATAGATTCGGCCTCGTATCGATAATAATTAATAATGTCTAATCCAATAAGATTTTCCAAAAAATATTAAATGTACAGATTCGGCTTAGTTACAATTTTATTATATGTATAGATTAAAAAGAATAATACGTTGATATATACGTAATTCGTCCTTCATTCATGTCACAACGGAGCAAAGATCGATGTGACATTTTGCATAGAGATAGTACACGAGCCAGGTTCCCCTGAGATATTAAACTATTGCCAAAAGAGTCTGGTACTTAGATTATATTACTCTTAATACATTATATTTTATATGTGATTTTATAAAGTATTTATATATTTTTCCACTACAACGAGAGAATTTAATATGAGTTTTTTATCCACAACTTAGATCCTTCGAATCGTAAATTCTAGAAATGTTCTTTTCTCTAAAGCGTTCTACTGAAAGATTATGCACTACTAACGACTCACCCTCACTTCGCTCGGTCTCGTCCATGGGTGATACTTTAAATTAACATAACTTTATTTATAAACCGATTGACATAAGAAAGATGCTATATGTTAAGTGAATCTTACCACAATATATTCGTGAAAACCGCACCCAAATCGGTTAATTCTGAGATTAGTGCGCACCATATAGAAAAATGGACAAATATTCTCAAAATCATTGTTTCGGGTTCTATTGCGTTAATAAAGACCCTCAATGATAGTTGTTCTCAAATATCGTTCATACAGACAGCGTACAGTTATACTTTCATTATGTGTATAGATTAGAGACCCTAGATGACTTTCGCATTTGTAAAATTAAAATTATCATGGTTTATTATTTCGCATCGGTAATATTGATTATATTTTTATCGATTCCAGTAATTTTAATCTATATACTAAATACGTTGAATAAGTGAAATGAAATGAAAGTAAATTTTATTCAATTAGAAAAATTGAATTAAAAAATTTTAAAACGTCGATTGGGTATATTAAGGTGCATAGTATTTAATATTTTTTTTGTATTCCATCTTCTACTTTTTCAGAGAACCCTCTCGTTTGGAGATAAAATTTTATATCGAAATATATACTAAAATACCATGAGATAAAGAGTTTGTTAAACACAAAATTTATCTCAAAATCGATTTAACATTTTTCGCTAAATTCATGCATAAAACTGGGGAAAACTGTACTACTGGTCGCTATTTTGCTTGATTATACAGTCTATTATTCAGCAATTTATTAGTTCAATAAGATTCGTTCAGTGGCTTTCACTTATAACGCTTACGAATTAACATACAGATATACATTTTAATGACTTTTTTGATCCATTATCATAAAGTATATTTGAAAAGAATTTCCAAAACTGATGTAATGTTTGTTCATATATTGTTATAATTTATATGATTTTGTAATACATATATACTATCAATCTGCCTATCTAGGATTTATATGTCCGTTCTAACTTTGACTGAAAATTTAATGCAAGTCTGGTAAGATATAGGTATTTATTTCATAGTAAACCTTTTAACTCGTTATAGTAATAATAAAACGATAAAAGCAAGTTTTTTAAGCTTTTTAAAGTATACAATGTTTACTTAGAAGTTAGAGTTTAGTCGATAAGTGTATCCCCTCTAAGTTGCGGAAAATAAATTATCTAACTCCCGCGCGCTTGTCCGCATCGCGGTTATTGTACTTAATCTCGACTTTAAAATTGTAACTGAGCTACATAAAAATCACTTTGCACGTAGATCCTTTACAAAATTCATATGTAAATAAAACTCTTCTTTATTATTATGACTAGAAAGTTTAAAAATAACCACTCAATTAAAAATAGACAATCAAATAATAAGTAGAGTAAACGAAGAAAAATACCTAGGCTTAGTTTTGGATAATCATTTAACTTGGAAACCTCACATTCAAAAAGTGAAATCAAAATTATCTTCCCTAAATGTCACTGTTCGAAGTTTTCCTCCTGATGTTCGCTATATTATTTATAATTCATTAGTGAAATCACAAATTGATTATTTAATACAACTTTGGGGTAATGCAGCTGAAAGTAATCTAAATATGTTACAAAGAACACAAAACAGGTTAATTAAAACGTTATTTCATTATGATTACCTCACAGCTACAAACCAAATTTATAAAGAAACGAAGCTTTTTGACATTCAACAAACTTATATTTATAATACGTGCATTCTTATAAGAAAGATATTAAATCATGACATACAAACACAAATAAGTTTCATGAAAAATAAACTAACGCATAGTAAATTGCTTCGAAATGCAAATAATTTAAAACATTACAAACCACGCACAAACTATGGCAAAAAATGTATTATGTTTGAAGGAGCAATGCTATATAATCAATTACCAAAAAATATTAAATGTGAAAAAACAATGGAATCTTTTAAAAAGAAATTAAAAATACATATTGGCAATAAATATATTAATTAAACCATCAAAAACCTAATTTTTCTATATTTAATATTAAAGTATTTGTTACCACAGATCATATAATACTATACTTGTTACTAAATTTAAAGTTAAAACTTATTAATAACATAATTTGAATTGAATTAACAACATAATATATGACAGTAAAATTTTATAATTAAAGCCACTTCCAGTATTCTTATTCCGAGTTCTAATCCATAAAATAGTTTGTATTACCCGCAAAATATACTTTATTTTTTATATAAATATTAGCTGCCCGTGTAAAATGTTACCTATGTAAAACTAATGTTTCTCAGTAAGTGAATTGTATTCTTTTGAGAAATAAATGAATCTTAAACCTCAAAGTTTCTCATTGTCCACGTTGAATTAGTAAAAGAAACATGAAATTCAAGAAAAACACATTGTTAGGTGTCACGTTCCTAAGACACTTAATTGAACATTCATCTATTATATCGAATTATATATTATTACTAGCATTGTCTGCGGCTCCGCCCGCGTTCAGATGACCAAAAACCAAATTCTTAGGTTTTACATATTAGTATACTCTTACATTGCCGTTTTTGGCATCAATGAGGCATTTTCCCGCGGCAACAAGTAACCTATATGTTGACCCGCGTAACCAGCTATCACCATACGAAATTTCATCAAAATCCCTCCAGTGGTTTTTCTGCGATGCGGTAAAAGACAGACAGACTGACAGACTGAGAAACAGACAAAATTTTAAAAAAGTATAAATTCGGCCTCTGTATCGATAATAATGTTTATTTCAATAAGATTTTCCAATAAATACTTAATGTACAGATTCGGCTAAGTTACAATTTTGTTATATGTATAGATTTTTTTATTTCGTTCAGTTAATTTTGGCTGACCTCAAAAGAGAGGAGGAGTACCTCCTCTTAACCTTAATTGTATACGATAACTTTGACAGTCATGAACCGTTTTTGATGGATCTTTATTTAATAAATAGGCAATTCCATAATTTCAAGACAAAAATCTATTTCTAGAAGTGAAATAGTTACGTTTTAAATTAATTTAAAAAACGATGTATTTAATTAAGCATCTATCAAATACTACTCTCACCCAGGATGTACATATGTATGTATGTGTAGTCGACAATCGAGACAAATTACACAACGCACTTACTGAATGCCAGAGAGGGAATTGGACGGGATTACACGTAAAAGGCATAGCCAAGAAGTAATTTATTTTGTTATTAATTGTTGCTTTTTGACTACCTACATATAAATCTTACTTCTTACTAATATTATAAATGTGAAAGTTTAGATGTTTGGCTGTTTGGATGGATGTTTGTTACTCAATTACTCCAAAACGGGTGAAGAGATCTGGATGAAATTTGGCACAGAAATAAATTATAGTCTAAAATAGCACAGAGGCTTCTTTTATCCCAGAAAAATATTCGATTCCCGTGGGATAGATTTGTTTTGTATTTCTAGAGACGAACCCAAGCGAAGCGAGAGTGACCTGCTAGTACGAAATAAATACAACAGTATTAAGCTCTAAAACATTGATTGATTCATTTGATATATCAAAATATTTTATAATACTATATGACCTAATACTACTACAAGTGTACACATCCATACCTATGTACATGAATGCATGCGTGCGTGCGTGTGTGTGGTAATGCATACGTGTATTGGACGGATTTGGATGAAAAGTACATAGATAGAGTATGACTTGAAGTAACAAATACGGCTACTGTTATATATTTAAGGATGCTCTTTTTATAAATAATTTAAGGTTCCTATGAAAAATACGATTAACTTATAAACAGGAACATAATAAAATCTATGCTATTGAAATTCCATAAATAAATACACTCAAGTGTTCTAAAAAGTGGAATACGAGTAGAACAATATAATGTGGTTAATCTTATCAGTATTTACTCACTGACACTAAGAATATGAATATAATTAATTTAAAAGCAGTTTAAAATATAGCAAGTTACAGTCTATTTTTTTATAACGCAATTATATACTTAAAGCTCTACGATTCTGATTCAGGGAACTGGACTTCGGGTATTCCCTACATCCCAGATGTATCACATCAACATTTTAATTATCAACATTTAAAATGAAACCTATACATTACTCAATAGTTTATGAATTTAGGTACTATTGTCCTTACATATGCCTCAATGTAAGTAAAATAAGCAAATTTTAACGTTATAACTTTATATTTAGTAATATGAATATGACAACAAGCGTTAGAATATAAAGGCTGTTTTCTCAGATTGTTTCATACATTTTACTGTAGAATCATGAAGGCGTGTGTAGTTCTTGCTTTGTTCCTGGTGGTAGCCCTCGCTGCAGTCGCTCAGAGCAATGAAGCAAAGGCAGAGGTGCCTCGTAAGTACCATAATAATTGTTTGACTCTATGTATACTCCTTTTTTTATTATGTTTTGTTTTAATCTATACATATAATAAAATCGTAACTAAGTCGAATCTGCATATTAAATATTTTTTGAAAAATCTTATTGAAATAGATTTCGTTAACGATACAGAGGCAGAATCTATAGTTTTTAGAATTTTTGTCTGTCTGTCTGTCTGCTACAGCATCACGGAAAAACCACTGGATAGATTTTGATGTAATTTGATATGATAATAGCTGGTTATCCGGGTTAACATATAGGGTACTATTTACTGCGGGAAAATATTTCATCTTTGAGAAATCTATACTAAACGTGAAAACGTAACTAGAGACGAACGTTTTTTTGTTCAGGTGGGTCCTTGATGCCTAAGCTTACTCTAGGTCATTGTCTGTCTGTGTGCTAAATTTCATACAAATTCATACATCTGTTTCAGCCTGAATGACTTAATGAGTCCTATAGATTTATTAAATATACAATTTACAATTAGAGTATGCAATTTTTGTTACAATTAACATATTTCCACATCATTTCAGTTATGAAAGGTGAAAGTTTTGAGTTCCTTATGACCTAAAAGTAAATTTTCTTTTCGTACTTAAAACTTTTAAATTTCGTTTAATAAATTGAAAATATTTTATTTTATTACAGAAATTCACAACTTGCTAAAGCGGCAAATTAGACCGATTATCCCGCAGTTACCTCGATGCGCGTTATGGGAGTGTAATTCAAACTGCATACGACGTGGCTTTAGAGGCGGATACTGTGCTTTTACTGGGTGTCAATGCTACTAAATAAAATCTTCAATGAAATACTTAAATAAATATTTAATGCATATAAATTATGAAGACAAATGTTTGTATAAATATTTATAAATAGTATTAGCTATGTAATATGTATATTATTATATATAACGACATTTTCTATGAAAGTCATATATATACTTTAAAATTTTATTGAATATACAAATATATTTTTTAAAGTGAATTTGAAGCGTTTTCTTTATAAATATGTATTCAGCCCTTTTTAACGTCCCACTGCTGGGCACGGGCCTCCCTTCAGCACGAGGGGAATCAGGCCATAGTCCACCACGCTAGTCAAGTGCGGGTTGGCGGACTTCACATGTCTTTTGAAAACTTGCTAGGTTCTCTCAGACATGCAGGTTTCCTCACGATGTTTTCCTTCACCGTTAAGACAAGTGGTAATCATGTTGAAAATGATTCGCACATGAAAATATCAGAGGTGCGAGACCCGGGATTTAAACTCTGTCTGTGTCTGGGATGTGTAGGTATAATAAAAATACAGGGAATAATTCAAATTCAGAAATATGAAAAAAAATTATATTAACAGATATTGTGTATTATTCACATTTGTATTGTGTACTTCTAATTTGCTTGATGTCTTTTCTTCATTCTACGCGACATTGGCGAAATAAAATGTGCTCCAATGGCACTCCTAGGAGCCACTGAACAAAAGAATTGAATTTATTTCAAAAAAAATAATAATAGTTATAGTTGTAGTAAATGCAATTTTAGTATTAAATAATTTGGGAATCATAATTGAAGCTTTACGAAGAAAATATAACTTAGGATGCTATTGTGATATAAGCAATGAATTGAAATCCATGCTTATATTTATAAACTGGAAAGTGTGTTTGTTTGTTTGTCCTTCTGTCATGTCGAAACAGAGTGACGGATGGGCGTGATTTTTTTGTGTGGAAATAGTTGGAGGGCTGGAGAGTGACATAGACTACTTTTTACCGCGGGAGGTTATCTAATTTCCATGGGAAAACACGTTAAATACAATCCAAAAAAATACTTATGATCAGAATTACTTGAAACTTGGTATTAATGCTTTTCAATAAAATAAATATGTGTTTGAGCATTTTTCAAAATTCATTCTATAAGGGGGTAAAAAAGCGGATGAAAGTTTGTATGAAACCTACCATTTTAGAGTTTTTTCTTGTAGTTTTAGCGCGAGCGAAGCTGCGGGTTCTGCTAGTAAAGAATAAATGTATACATACTTTAAGTGGTTGCAAAGTAGAAAATTGGTTAAAAGAAATAAAGAAATTCATACCACACATACAAACTGTTATGATATTCAACCAACCGTCTCACGTAAAAGCTTCATAGGATAAGTGCAAATCTCAAAAATTACAAAAATTTTAAAGACAATGCTCTCTCAATTTTAACTATCATTATCCCTATCCTTATAGACTACAATTTAAATTTTGTTATTCAACACGTAATATGAAACAATTAGTGCTAGATTTTTAAAATTTACAATGTCATTTTACCTAATAAATAAACTATCCTCATCGTGGCCTAGTTCTAGAATAAAAACTAAACGATGCTAAGCTTTTACCGCTCCTGACCCAAATTGCTAATTGACTTTTTGTATGGCGCACTGCAAGGAGTTCAACTTTTTGCCATAAATCATCAACTCTTATACTTTTCAGTTAGATTCAATACATTTACTAATTTCTGCCTTCAATTTTCTATTCGCATGGTAAGTCGATCAAAAAGTAGCCTATGGGTTGATACATCATTTTAGCCGTTACAGCAAACACACTCACTTGTTCACTCGCTAACATTAGTTATATATATATATATATATATCTCCTTGAATGTATTAATACAAAAAATAAATCAAGTGCGAATCGGCCTTGGGTTCAGCTTCCAAGGATTTTTCCCCCATACTATAATATTTCATGCACAAGTAAAATAAGTTTTTTAAATATTAGTTAAAACCCTTTTTAACATTCAAACTAAAGTTAGAGTATCTACTAGCCACGACAAGCAAAACGACAAAGAAACAATTTACGGCTGGAAAAGCTTACCTACCTACTAAAACTACTACTAAACTACTAGCTTATACTACCTACTAAAACTCAGGGGTTTTTCCCATCCGTCCCTTCTCCGTCTTAATGGGGCAGGATCACTTAAGCACTCTCAACCATACGCCATGATTGCTGGCCTACCGAGGCAGACCACATCAAGAAGGAGGTTGCTCTAGCAGTTACTATCAACTAAGAGTAGGCCACATGGTGCTCCTCCCGAGGCCCACCGAGGTAGGTCATTCACGAACGTAAGTTGTCATGTTTAGTCATAGGGACCTCATCCGACTAGACAGGCGTGGAAGACATAATACTTTCTTACATTTACGCGAATATTTGACATTTTAAATAAAAACAGTGCCTACGCTGTCTGTAACAAGTGTATAACGCCTTTGAGACATCTAACACCTAAGTCTCTCCCGTGACCATGATTGCTGTAAAACACTCGAAACGTCAGGAACCAAAAATCATAATAAATCCGCGAAATTACCCGAACAGATAGTTTTATTTTAAAAGGTATGGAAGACTAAAAACAGTAATAAAAATTATACTTTAGAATATGATACTATTTATTGTCATTTAACATCAAAATAAAAATTAATACAAAATCAGGCACCAACAGCCTATTTGCTTTTATTTTAACATCATTTTGCTCAAACTTTTTGCATCAACGATATTGAATATTAGGTACATACATACATATATTGATAACAAAATTTAATTTAATATCTTGAATAAAAAGGTATTTTTTAAATTTTCAATTAAAGAAACAGGAAAATTGCATTATTTACTAATTATAATAATATAGCTAACTACTTAAGATTCCTGGAAAATGAAATGTTGAAACGACAACATACCAATAATATTTAAACCAATGTTTAAATAGTTTCTTCACAGTACAAAAGAAGTCTATGTAATGCAAATTCAACCTTGCACTTCATATATTACAACCGTTATTCACATAATAAGTTACAAACTCTATACTTAGTGCACTCAGTGATACTACAAAACGGTTCTTCCCTTTAAACCAGATATTGATTCATATTATGACTTAACATGAGTAAATGAACTCATAAAGCTTGTGTTTATTCAAAAAAATGTTAAAATAATCATATCCATCAATTAATGACTCAGATAATCGATTTTTTGATCCTAACATTCTACGCAATGTAAGTTGTTTATGATAGCTTCTTGTAAATAATCTTCCTTATCATAATTATCTTGATTCTTAGTTCTCTATATACGTTAATAAGTTACAGTTATTCATACATTTCAGTTTTGAGTATACAATATGAAGGCGTGTGTATTTCTCGCGTTGTTTCTAGTACTGGCTCTTGCCACCGTAGCGCATTGCTCTGAAACTCACGAAAACCCTAGTAAGTAAAAAACTTTTTTCATTAATATTAAATTATTTCATCATCTTGACTTGAATTTTAAGGTAAAGCTAAGTTTAACTTTATAATACTTATTTGTTAAAAGTTTCATAATGTTAATAATCTTACGTTTTAATAATTTTCTTACATTATAATAATAATATTTAAAGGTACTAGGTATAGTTATTACTTAAACATAGTTTAACTCTCACAGGTTCTCATTCATTTTAGAGTTAGTTATTCAAAAGTTATGAGTACATATTTAAAAAAAATTGGATTTATGACAACTCAATATACATTTTTCTAAAAACCGTTTTCTTATTTAAGTATTAAGTCTGTTAAATTTTTAACAACAGGTGTCCATAACTTGATGAAGCGACAGATTAGATCAGGTTGCGCTCTTTGGGAATGCAGTTCAAATTGCAGGCGACGCGGCTATAGCGGCGGCTACTGTGCATTTACAGGATGTCGATGTTATTAGCACTTAGTTATTTTAATAACTACGTATTCTTCTTTACTCCACTGGCTTAAACACTAAAACTTTCTGACAAATTCCAATAAATGTGATTTTACTTGGCAATGTATGTAAACAATAAGTTTTCAAAACTAGTACATATTATTATATTAATTTTGTAATAATTACATACAAAATTAATCGTTGGTTTTTCACTAATTTCCAACCTTTATACTAATTAAGCCATAATCTGTAGCTCTAATAAAAGTTTTTTTTTTTCTTTTTTTTTATTGTTGGGACATTTACACACAGCACCATCTAGGTCCATGCAGTAAGCTACGAGGCTTGTGTTATGGATACTAGATACTTGATATATTATACAAACTAAATATAATTTTAAATACAAACATATTAAAAATATAAACACTCATGACTAGAGTACAAACATTCGTGATCATCACACAAATGAATGCCCAGCGGGACTTGAACCCGCAACCGCTGGCACAGCAAGTCACTACAAACTGAGCCAAACGTGTCGTTAAAAAAATATAAACGTAAAAATAAATCTTCGAACTGGGTTTAAATGTTACTGCCCATGTCCGAGATATACATACCTATAGTCGAAGATCGGGGCAAATTGCAGAACGCACTTATTGTAACTCCTTCCGCCTTCGCTCCACCCAAAAGGATATTCTATGGAAAACATTACCTTGAAAGATATGCGAATAAGACTCAATAATATAAGATCTTGGCTTCCAAAAAAGAAGAATTTTTGGTTAAGCTTTTTTTAGTTAGTACGTTTTAGCAATAAATAGTTAATAGGATAAGCTATTCATTTTTAAACAGCAATATCGCTATAGTGTAAATACTATAGGACCTCTTGCTTACTATAAGCACGTCGATAAAAAATAGCCGATCTATGTGTTAATCCAGGGTATAAGCTATCTTTATTGTGAAATTCCTTTACATTTGACGATACGTTTGACTCAGTTTGCAGTGTACTTGCTGTGCCAGCGGTAGAATCAAACTCTGGGTAGTAGTGATCTGCTTCGGCAAACCTGCTATCGGGGCTGTCATGGTTGAGTGCGTGAGCGATCCTGCGGCGTCCCATTTGGATGAGAGAAGTTCCGTTGGGTTATAATGGGTAGAACTGGCTTTTTTACCCGCTGAGTCTCATATATAGCTTGTATATAAACAGATGATATTCGTAAATGCATTTTCCAACGTAAAAAAACAGTAGGTACGATTCGTATTAAGCCACATAAATCATAATTTATGTACAGTACATTGCTATTATAAACAAGTAACTTTAATGCGATAAATTCACAATGCACATACAACTATTAATAGCAATAAAAATATTTTAATAGATATTATGCGACATGCGCAGTCTAGTGTACCTTATCTAAAAACTCTTAGTACAGTCTAAATCAGTAATTGTATAGTAAAACTCATTAATACTGCTCACAGCCCGAGATATACAGTCGACAATCGAGACAAATTACACATCGCACTTACTAAATGCTAGAGAGGGATTTGGATGGTATAACACGTAAAAGGCATAGCCAAAAAGCAATTTATTTTGCTGTAGTTTTAAAGATCTAAGCGTACATAGGGACAGACAGACAGACAGCGGGAAGCGGCTTTGTTTTATACTATGTAGAGAAGTACACTAGTGGTATTAAGCTATATGATGTATTGATTATTTTTTTATATACATACTAGCGGCTCACCCTCGCTTCGCTCAGGTTCGCCTCTAGACAAACAAAAACAAATCTATCCCACGGGAACCGTACTTTTTTCCCGGATAAAAAGTAGCCTATTTGTTATTCTGACGTATGAACTATAAATATATATTAAAATCCAATCAGTAGTTCTTGTGCACTAAGCTGTACAAGTTACTATAGTTTTTTAACTATCCCACGGGAACTCTTTTATTTTTCTATTGTACAGACATTCAACCTCTACAGTTTTATTATATGTATAGATATATAATGAAATGTGTTACAAATTATAATTATCAGAAGACACATATATGTATGACGAAATAATAATTAAGTATGAAATACTGAAGAAACAGTCAAGGCGCATCAGTGATCGTAGAGTCAACTTCTTCGTAAATTTTTATGTCCTAGTCGTAAAAAAGCGCTAAGTGGCTAAAAATTTAAATAAACGTGTGAATAAAATGGTTAGTTACTATTTTAAAGATTCCATGCCTCAAGAGGAATATCGGAAAAGTTATGGAAGTTTTAAAAAAAATATGGAACAGTATATGTATCCTTCAAAGGATTACTTTTGGGGCTGACACTGCATATTTAAGAAAAAACATCAAGTTCATCTACAATCAATAACAGAATTCAAAAAGAAGTTCCATTTTCAAAAATTGCACTGTAAATCAATCATTCGATTCCGAGGATTTGAAACAGTCTTAAATATTAATCTCGATATAAAGAAACTACTAATGGTTACTTAACATATTGTTTAAATAAATATAAATCTGGGATAAATTATGAAGAGTATTTTACCTTAAACGTTGGCATCTAATATCAGTAACCTTAGTTTTAGTGAATTTTACTAAGTAAAGTTTTTAGTATTTTATCACGGCTTATGCAATTTATGCTTATGGCTTTAAAGCATGTAAGTTGAATTTATTTTCATATACACGTTTATATATACATACATAATTACATAATGTACGAAGAGGACTAAAGACAAATATAAACAAACATTGATAATTAAGAGGATGGGGGACTTTCTGCAGTCGTGTGTGAAGATGTTTTAACTGAATTACTTTTAAAGTAAAACTCGAAAAGTAATTCTGAAAAGTAGGCTTTCAAAATAACTTTAGAAGTAATTATTTTATCATTAGGGGAGAAAATTTACTTGGAATTTATATGTGACCATTTCTTTAAAAATATGGATTATTATAACATTGGTTTGTAATTTTTATTATATCACATATCATTCAAAAAAATACATAGACATAGTAGAAATGAGTGCCTTTTTCTATATTAAATCGGTCTTAACTTTCAACAGTTCTATATTATAGTGCTAACTATAAAACGAATTAACAGAACATAAAAACATACTAAGTGTGAATCCCCCAGTTAGCTGATCTGACTGCACTGGGTGATTTTTTCTTATTATTACTTTGAAGCGACGCAATCGAGACCTCTACACTGTAATTTATCTGGTAGAACGTTTGTACGCCAGATATACATTTTTATCCTCTTGGACTGTTCCAAGAGATTCTTTACTGTATTACGTAAAGAAAGATGGGAGTAGATGAGACTAGAGACTGAGTCTTTCCACTGGTTTTCTAAAACTGTATTGTATTATTAGTTTATTTATTTATGGCCAAATCATTTTCATATTTTAAGTTTATATCTCTCACTTTTAATTTTTTTCATGTATGCCAAAATTAAAGTACAGAATAAATATATTAATTTAGCTAATATGATATATTATAATTAATAATCATGATGTATGTCAAAAGCTGTAAATCCTGATACTGCCATATATAAAAAATAGATATACCAAAAGTCACTTAGTAATTTGGGTCAGAAATTGTGAGCGTTTAGCATCGTTTAGTTTCTTAGACTGGAACTAAGCCACAATAACAATAGCTAATTTATTAGACCGTGGGATACATTGCATAATCTAGGTCAGTTTTAGATAGGCACAACACTAAACTTGACTTAATTTAAATAAAGAATTTACAAAAAAACTTATATACGTATAATGTATCTATTATATAACTGACTCGGTGGTGTAGCTGCTAGCAAGTACGGCTGTACATCGAGAGGTCCTGGGTTCGAGTCCCGGGTCGGGCTAAGTTTAGTTGAGTCTTCTTATTTAGTAAGCCTCAGTGACAGCCCAGAGTTGAGAAGTTGGCGGTGCTTACCCCCGTGCCTCGGAGAGCACGTAAAGCCGTCGGTCCAGCGCCTTAACTCTCACTGGTCGTGTCGAGCAGTCGTCCCACTGGAGTATGAGAGTGACAGGAATAGAGAGTGTACTTGTGTCTGCGTGTATACACGCTGCACTATAATATCTCCTGCACAGATGGCTAGTCTCAATGAGACTGGCCGCCGTGGACGAAGTCGGTCGGGAGGTCATAATTAATATATTAAATAAAACTAAGATATTAAAAGTTTAATATATATATTTTTACTGCGTAAGCAGAACATGAACCATGACGTGTATCGTTTGAATTTTTATTTTCTTTGCTGCTTTTTTAATTTAAAACTGCTATAAATAATTTAAATAATTGTATTATTAAATAAGAGAACTGAACCGTCATTGCAAACAATTTATCAAGAAGATTTAAAAAGCTTATTCACGATAAGGCCTAACTTAATTTACATGACGAAATTGATGAAGTAGATTAAAAAAATATATTATTTCTTTATAAAATTCTGAGAACGCTTCGGTGGAACTTTGCTAGCATTTGAACAATTACACGTTGTTTCATTAAATAAAACTACGGCCATTTCAATTAAAAGCAAACAATTCTGAATAAACTATTTAAATAAGAATACAAAATGATGTATTTATAAATACTAGCAAAAACTGCGGCTTTGCTCGCTCTAAAATTACAAAAAAAAACTGTAAAAAGGTAGTTTTCATACAAACTTACATACCCTATTTTACTCCCTTATAGGATGAATTTCGAAAAATACTAAAACACGTATTTATTTAATTTTATTGAAGAGCATTAATTATTTATATATAGTTTCAAGTAATTCTAATCATAAATATTTTTTGGATTGTATTATAATGTGTTTTCCCGTGGAAATGAAATAATCTCCCGCGGTAAAAAGTACCTTATGTCACTCTCCAGCCCTCCAACTATCTCCACACAAAAAGTCACGCCAATCTATCACTCCGTTCGATGTGAAAGAAGGGCAAACAAACAAACAAACAAACAAACAAACAAACAAACAAACAAACAAACAAACAAACAAACAAACAAACAAATACACTTTCACATTTATAATACATCTATAATATACAGGGCGTCAAACCAAGACCAAGATGTGCATTGGGAGGTGTACCTGACGAGTTGCTCTGGTACTGCTGTGATAGCAGATTGGAAGAGGTATAAGTCATCCTGTGGCATCTCATTAAGACGAGGAATTCCGTTGGGTTTTAGTGGGTAGTTTTAGGCTTTCTTAGCCGATAAGGCTCCAGATTACTACCTGCTGTATACGTGACAGGGGACAATGCATCTGCCATCGCGAAAGAAATTATGTCAGGGCGTTATACATAGTTGACTACGGAAGTGATTCTGTGGCTTTAAAATCATATAGAAACTTCCCTGTCTAAATGAGGATTTTGAGAAGTTTCTGTAGGATTTTAGTGGCTATATTGGCTTTTCTAAGCTGTGAGTCATCAAGTATTTTTTTAAATTAAGTAATATTACTTACTAACAGAAATATATAAAAAATAAATAACCTAGCCGAAACCACAATAAAGAATACAATTTTTTTATGAAATGATTTTAAATACTTTTCACGTTCAAGGCTACAAAAAATAATTGGTTTATTTGAGAAGATTTTTTGGCATTTTGGTTAACTGAGTTAGTTTTACATAGATTAACTAGTTAACGCGTTTGCTCGGTAACCCAGTGATTAGGTTCAAGCCCGGGTTCCCAGCTATGAAATTAAGCACGTGCGAATCATTTTCAATGTTAAAAAGAGTTTAAATGTTATAATTTAATAAGAGCTACATTATTATTTTTATTAATTATATATTAACGATAACATATATACATATATATTATTCTATATATTAATCTTTTAACCTTTTTTAACTTTAGTACTAAAAGTGAAGAAATAGAGAGGGAACTTGTATTTGCAGAAACTATATTTAAATATATGTGTATTCAGCCCTTTTTTAACGTCCCACTGCTGGTCACGGGCCTCCCTTCAGTACGAGGGCAATCAGGCCATACTCCACCACGCTGGCCAAGTGCGGGTTGGCGGACTTCACATGTCTTTTGTAAACTTGCTAGGTTCTCTCAGACATGCAGGTTTTCTCACGATGTTTTCCTTCACCGTCAAGACAAGTGGTAATCATGTTGAAAATGATTCGCACATGAAAATATCAGAGGTGCGAGACCCGGGATTTGAACTCGCTTCACTCGGTTTCTCAAGCGAGCGCGTTACCACTGGGCTACCACTGCATTTTTTTTATAATATAAATTATAATATAATATAATTTTTTTTATAATATAAAGATTAATATATATTTAAATATACATGTTAATCTATTACTGCTACAAAAAAAATGAACTTATTCTAAAAATCCTTTAGATAATAGAATGAACACTTTTTCGGAGTAGGTAATAAAAGCCAGGTTTATTGACATGAGTAAAACTGGAGACAAATACTAAATAAGTTTTCGGTTGCAGCTTATCAATTTGCTAGAAGTCTCGTATTTATTTAACAATGATTAATTCATAATCTTGTAATTCTCGGTAACCAAATAATGGCACAGTTGTTTCTGAACAGCACCAGTGAGTCCCCTGTTATATGAACCTGATAATATTATGTTGATAACAATATGAACTTGTTACAGAAAACTCAGGTTAAAAAACTTTGCAATGAATTTAATACGTTTAGACTTCAAAGAAAGTTAGGTAAATATATAGAAAGAAACGAATTAAATTTAACTGTTTATATTATTGTGAGATAATGAGCAAAAACACTCTTTTAGGTTTACTGTATTTATAGAATTAAAGTACCTACTTGAAATTCTTTTATATAATATGAGTATTTCGACTTCAAAGAAATTTAATATTAAAATATTCAATACGGAGTCAAATTATTCTAATATATTTTAACCGACCGAAAAAGGAGGAAGTTTTATATTTAAGTGTAGTTTCTTACAATATATAAGCGTAGCGCTAATTATATGTTATTGATTATTTTTTTTGTAGACAGTATTACTGCATTGAGTAGATATTGTAGACGATTCACAAAACTATACATTATTTGGAAAAATGAGAAATGGCACTAAACATCTTACAATTCAAATTCGAAATAATACTAAGTAATTAAGGTTGCTATTGTTTAACAATTTGAAATTAATAGTTTTTTGTTGTTATTATTATAATTTAATTACTATTTTAATAACTTTTTTGAAATTACGTAATGAATAATTATTATTTATCAAATTAATAAATATATCTTATCATTTGGCACATTTAATCGGCTGAATAGGTCAGAGTATGAGTAGGTAATGTTATAATATCATGTTTTACATTCGCATACGAAAAATTTCACCCAAAACAGTCCAGCCCTTTAGGAGGAATAAGGTGACAAACACACGAACAGAAGAATTAATAAAAAAATAGTAACTATATATAAATATAATAATATTTTGCGTGAATATTCGAAGATGACAAATCACAATGGGAGCAGTTACGGAGCTGTAGTCCACATGAACTAGTTACTAGCTAAATCGAGTACGAGATTCCGCAAAAGTGGAATGTGAGTAAACAATAACATTTCATCTTTAATCTTATCACTGAAGTAATTCAAACACATTTCTAACAAAACAAAAGCGACGTCGACAAACGACTCCCAACTTTACACACCGAATACTACGGTCTCAATTTGTTCAACGCGGATATAAATTTATCACTTGCAATTCTGTGCTAGCGAAATTGACTTCGGGTATTCCCTCTGCGTCCAATATTTACTCGTCTTCCAACTCTCTAATATACAATTTCAACAAATATTAACTCTACATCCATTACCTTATTCCTACTGATTATAGCTTTACATCGACGTAACTAAACAGCAATGGATATTTTACAGAGCGATGTATTTGCTGAGATATTTTCTCAAATACTGTTAAAATATGAATACCGGTACGATGCATGCTGGTATAAGGCATGTATAAATACATCTCTCAGTTCAATCATTTCACAGTGAAATTGTGTAATTCTATCATGAAGACGTGCTTGGTACTGGCTATCTTATTAGTTGCAGCCTTTGTAGCTTCAGAGCAAAGTGACTCCTACTGTTAGTATTATTACTAGAGTATAAAGCAATAAAGCACTATTGCTTTAACCTAATATATATTTGAAAACTAAAATTTTTATTTTTACAACATAAAATGGAATTTATTTTAATTATTCAGACATATTTACATACTCTTGTATTCACAGATACTTTCCACAACACACAAAAGAGACAAATAAGTAGAGCCACTATAAATGTGAAACCTCCCCCTGGCTGTGTATTCTATGAATGCATTGCAAAGTGCAGGCAAAAAGGGTACAGGAATGGAGGATATTGCACCATGACAGGATGTCAATGCGTACGATAGCGCCATTAATATATGAAATAATTTAAAGGAACTAATGTTCAGAATAAATTATAGTAAAATTTTCTCTATCTGTAGCCTAATAATTATAATGTATTATAATTATAATATAGCAGTAAAATAATTAGATTGTTTTGTTTAAATACGCAATTAATACTATAAGCCTGTAGTTTTTTATTAAAGATTCGCGGCATCGTCAACGCGTTTATAAAACGTGGTATGCGTAGGCCTATAGTGTAATGATTTACAAGTGAACTTATTTATTTATTATATAACTACTTATGTATTATAAAACTTTAAGATTTTGAATTCCTAATAAATTATTCAATTGTTAATTTATTATATAAAAAAAAGATTAAAATGTGCAATAAATGTTACTTTTTTTAACTGTGTAAAGTTTAAAATACGACAGTTAGGTCCGTCGAATTTTATTGTATTAACAACAGTAGGATTAAATTCTAGATATCCAATGTTAATTGTTGAAACGGCGATTATTAAATAGACATACGCGTAGTTAACAACGTGAAATTGTAATACGATGTGTAATGCAATACAATTGAGCTACACGAAACTACCATAAAGCTTTCAATAAAATAATATGTTAATATTTATATACTCTTTTAACAAATATATAAATGTTTATGAATAATATTTTCAATTTTTCTTTATATATAGAGGCATATCGTTGAAAATATTAGCCATGAAGTCACAGTGGTATTCCTTATAAGATAGCGGAATACGGATTATAATATTTGGAGAGTGTGTAACGTTATTAGGCAAAAATAATATTTAAAAAGACACGTCTGAAGCGTGCTTTATGCGTCTAAGACAGTTGTCAAAACATTTCGAGAGAAGCATAGAAATTACTTGAATTTAGACAAGAACAGTTAATTATAATTTGCCGTGTAAAAGAGTGAGAGAGAAACAAAACATTCTAAATGACAAATTTTTTTTTGAATTTTTGAATACTAGAATGTTCTTTGTTTATGCATATAAAAAGGCCGGCAATGTGTCGGGAGTTCAGTTGAATTTCGAAGTCAAGTGAAGATTGCGAAGAAGTACAAAAAAGAGAAAAATGAAGAAAAATTAAGTGAAGTTATAATGGAAGTGTATCTAATGGTAGAAATTAGTGTCCAGTGACTGATTTTACCAGAACTGTCTATATTCTGCGTGTGTTAGTGAACCTTTAAAAGTCACTCTTGTTAATCAGGAGTAATAAAACATCGATAGTGCCAAAGACGTGCTTTAATTTCCGACCCCCGAACTCATAGAACGTAACAATATAATAGATTAGATTTATAATATAATATTACGGAGTATGATAACAAAAGTCAAGTGCTAAACTTAAACCTGCACTAAATAAAAATAAATGCAACACGAAATTGCAACCAAAAACCAGTAATATAGTAAAATAATACTATGAAAATATAATAGATATTGTGTACAAAGCGTACTCGTTCATCATATTCAATGAAAACCTGAATCAATATGAGTAGAAAATCGTGCACGTATAAATGGTACGAAATGCCTAGCCGCGTTGTATACAATAACCACATCACCATATTGTTAATAACGGTTTTATTTTACAACTAGCGATTCACCCTCGCTCCGCTCGGGTTCGCCTCTACTTACCTACGTTTTAACGTTTAGTACAGATTTCTCAGAGATGAGATATTTTCCCACAGTAAAAAGTATCCTATATGTTGACCCGGATAACCAGCTATCATCATACAAAATTTAATCAAAATACCTCCAGTGGTTTTTCCGTGATGCGGTAATAGACAGACAGACAGACAATAATTCTAAAAAGTATAGATTCGGCCTCTGTATTCTAATTAATGTCTATTTCAATAAGATTTTCCAAAAAATATTTAATGTACAGATTCGGCTTAGTTACAATTTTATTATATGTATAGATATTCAACTATGTATCTATATACAGCCTAAGTCACACAGCCTAATGACCGCATTTTGAATATTTAAAAAAAATACATGTTTACAAATACCGCACTTTTAATATATTCTAAATTCTGAAATGAATTCAAAGATACAGTTAGTGTATCCACATTCAGTAAGTAGCTTATGCCCAGCTTCCAGCTGCGCTATAGAAAAATAAATAAGAAAAGCAATCTAGAATAATATTTTGGTTCACTATTAAAACTACTTTTCTCCACATTACTAACTAAAAAATATATTTAATACTTCAGTCAAGCTTACACCGCATTGATATATAGGTACCTAGATAAAAAAATTAAAAACCCCTTTTGTTTCTCGTATCGTGCATCAGACTTTAGAAAATGGAATTTATTTTGCAGCCGCAAGCAGAATATTTAATTACAAGTATGAAATATAAACTTTTAAAACCTTCAACAGTATACCTTCATATCTACATACATGTAAGCTTTATAAAATAACTTTACATGTAAGCTTTATAAATAATGTTTTAACGTTTAGTGTCGTAGGGAAATATTTTCCCACAGTAAAAGTATCATATATATTGACCCGGATAACCAGCAAAATTCTAAAAACTATAGATTCGTCCTCTGTATCGATAATTATATCTATTTCTATTGAAATAGATATAATTATCGATTATCCAAAAATACAATAATATTGCTATACAATGCATATGTTAGGGCTAATCTGGAATACAACAACTACAGATTGGAATCCACAATATAAGAAATATATTGATCGATAAATAAAAAAATACAAAATATTTTTTTTAAAATATTAAAAAAATAGATTTGTTTCTGCTTCTTTTAGTATTGCTACTTCCATAGAAAAGCGTAGAGAAAAAAGAGATCAGCTTTTTGTTTACAAAATAATTAATCATTTAGTTGTCTCTCCATACCTACTAAATAACATATTATTTAATTGTCCCAGTCATGGCACTCGATCTCAGCCTACTTTCTCCACCGCTGTCTCCAGAACAAAGTATTGTGACAATTCATTTATTGTAAGATCTTGCAATATGTATAACTAGCATTGCCCGCGGCTCCGCCCACGTTCAGATGACCAAAAAGCAAATTCTTAGTTTTTGTATTTTTTCTCAGAAATGAGATATTTTCCCGCGGTAAAAAGTATCCTATATGTTGACCCGGATAACCAGCTATCACCATACCAAATTTCATCAGAATCCCTCTAGTGGTTTTTCTGTTATGCGGTAACAGACAGACAGACGGACGGATGGACGGACAGACGGACGAACAGACAGACAGACAGGCAGGCAGGCAGGCAGACAGGCAGACAGGCAGACAGACAGACAGACAGACAGACAGACAGACAGACAGACAGACAGACAGACAGGCAGGCAGGCAGACAAGCAGACAGACAATATATCATGACATCGATTTGTTCAGTGATGGGTTCAAAAAAATCGCTCACATATTAAAAAAAACATAAATTGTATTAATGTTTAGTATTCTTGCTTTTTATACGATTTATTGCTGCTAATTTTAGTTCTCTTCGTTTGTTTTTAATGGAATCTTTATTGGCTTAAGATTTTTCTTTAGAAGTGTTTAACTAAAGTTTATTAATTGTACCTTGTATGTTTGTCAATGATAAATAAATAAATAAATATTTAATGTACAGATTCGGCTTAATTAGAATTTTATTATATGTATAGATTGTAGGACATGCCAACTATAACCTAAACAAAGGTAATTGATTTAATGCTATTTGTGTTTTATTTATCAACAAATCTACGTAATCCTCTTATCGGCGTACTAAATGCAACATAATGTGATAATAGGTTTATAATTGTTAGCGTTTATTTGAATTTAAAAATGATTAGCATATAATATACACTGTCTACAAATTATCTGTTATTTTTCGTAGGCGTAGGCGCTCGTTGATTAAGGTTATCATACATTGTCGAAAATGCAAGTACAACAAAAATCACGAGATGGCTCTATAAGATATTGTCAACAGGAGAGCATAGAAAGAGATTTTAAAATTAGTAGATTTTTTTTGGGAAATATTGTGTTTTTTTTAGAAAAGACAGAAAAATAGACTTAAAAAGCAAAACCTTATCTAAGTGCAAAATTTGATCCAAATTGTTAAAGCCATTTCCGAGATACACGAAATAAATTTATATACAAGAATTCCTCATTTCATGTTATAAGGTATTATACGATCGGGAACAATATCCCATTGTTGAACACTGATTAAACCTTTGTTGTTGCCCAATCAACCATTGCACGGTTTTGATGATTTTATACTTCTTTCGAAATTTACTATGGTCTTCTAAATAATATCGAAATGCCAAAAATGCAAGATTTGAATCTGCTTCAATATGACTCAAAACAAACATGCACTCCTTACTTTACCACAGCTGTGTATTTGGAATTATTATTCAAAATCGCACTTAACTACAAGATTATTCTAAATTTTAAGCTAATGTTTTTCATAATATAGGTAAGAAAAAAATATATATTATATTTTTGGATATATATTCCCAATAAAGATTATAAATACATTTTGCTCGTCCCCTCTGAGTTTCGTATGGGTACTTTTCCACGTCAATTATTCCCATGTCAACGCCTCTTATAAAGGCTGGCAGAAGCTCGTCACGTTCGATAAAGAATTTCTTTTGCAATAAAGGTTTAATATTAAAAAATATTTTCAACAAAAATATAATATCGATATTTTGACTTACTTATAAATTCAGTTGAATATTTAGATATACTAAATAAAAATAACATATATAATATTATTATATATGTTATTATTGTATAATATTATTTAAAACATAAAAAATACACATAAATGGTCTCTTCACTTTGAACTTGGTTCTATTTTATACGGAATATATAATCATTTTACTTATTTTATATAAAAAATCATCCTATTTACACCACTTACTTTTCTTTCGTAATTAAAAAGTTTTAATTTAACTTCTTTCATAAAATTTGTTTCATGACATTGTCAATCCTTGCGAACAAAGTGTATACAAAATAAAATTTATACTAGCGACTCAACCTCGCTTCGTTCGGGTTCATCCCTAGGTGATTCTATAAATAGACATATTTTTTTATTTATTAACCGGTTTAAATAAAACAAATACCAAATGTTAAGTGAAGCTTACCACAATGCATTAGTTAAAACCGAACACATATCAGTTAAGCTGTCTTCCATGTACAGACAGTGATCAGTTACACTTTTATTATATATATAGATTTCCAAGAAAACATTCATATATAATAAGTATAAAGTAATAATCGAAAGATCAGAAAGAACATCACAAAGAAATTTGAATGACATTATTTTTACGATATCTCTAATTAAGAATTGGATGTAGGAACTAGAATTAACTACTAATTAACAGGAAGCCACTAAATTGACCCCTAACTTAAATGAGATCATATTGTACGAAATTGTCTCTTCTATCAAGTGAATGAATAGAAATGTTGCTTATGTATAATTTCATATATCATAAATAGTACTATAAAATATCCTATAAAAATCAACGCACAATAAAATTTTGTCAATCGTTATTACAGTGTTGTTCCATACTAGTCGATCTGCACTAGTCAATACTAATACAAGTATTATGAAGAGGTAAAGCTTGTATGTTTTATAAGTTACAAATAAGTCTGGTTAAACGATTTAAAATAAAGTATATATATTATATATACACATATTATCTAACGTCCTCCTGGCCGATTTCGGCCACGGCGCCTAGCGGCCAATCTCACTGATAATGAGTCTAGCCAGATGCGCAGCAGATATTACCTATAGCGTACAAGTGTACCGCCACTGCCGTACAATACAAGTGCGCTTTCTATTCCTTTTACTCTCAAAGTTCTATTGGATGATATATCGACACGACCGGTGAGAGTGTCGGCGCAGGACCGACGGTTTTACGTGCTCTCCAAGGCACGAGGGTGAATCAACGCCAACTTCCCAACTCCCGGCTTGTATTAAGAATATCTTAATAGAAAAACTCAGAAGTTAAACTTGACTCAATTCGAGACTCGAACCCAGGACCTCCAGATCTGCAGCCGTACATGCTAGCTACTAGACTATCGAGGCGGTTAATACGTATACCTATAGGGCAAAAGGACACCTAGAGACGAATTCGAGCGAAGCGAGTGTTAGTCGCTAGTATTTTATAATTTTTTTTCATGCTTCATGAAATAGTAACCCAAATTTTTGAAAAAATTGTAAAAATTGTAATTTTGTAAAATTTGTGGGTATGCACGATCTGTAACAAGTATATAACGCCTTTGAGACATCTAAAACCTTAGTCTCTCCCGTGACCATGATCGCTAAAAAGTATTCGAAACGTCGGGAACTAAAAATCAAAATAAATCCGCGAAATAATTCGAAAAGATAGCTTTATTTAAAATAGCAACCCGTTAACAAAACATTTAATTGTACAAACATTTGTATAAAATATTATTATTATTACAAAACATTTACAGCAAAATCCGATGTACGGTTATTGAATCTAAAATATGTCAAAAGTTATTAATTATCATACTTACAAAAGTTTAGACTTATTTAAATAATACTAGCCACTTACCATCTTTTCGCTCGGATGCGTCCCTAGGTACGTTTTAAATATAAATAGTTATTCCGAGTATACCTTAGGAGATAGAGTCATGCTTGATACTCCGGACTTTAGACCTAACATGCTTAGCATTAGTTTAGCCAATAGCCATGTCAATTTCTAAGGATGACTCAAACCAATTGTTGTGTTTTGGGATTGGAAACAAAAGATTTACCTGTAGTAAAATGTGTACTAAATGTTGTCTCAAGTAATAAGTTATCACGATACAAAATTTATTTAAAACCGGTTCAGTGTTTTTTTGCGTAAAACGGATTCAGATGTACAGACAAACAGCTAAAAAATTTAATAATTATTGTTTTGGGGTCTATATTCTGTACAAAATATGTTAGTCATTATTTTTAAAAAATAATCATGTACAGATTTCGCTAAGATACTGTTATTATATGTATAGATGTTAAGGTGGATTATTTATAAAAGATGTTTATTGGCTATAGTAAATGATATATTCTATTCATGGTTTCTTTTTAATTTTAATAAGTTTTTTCAACAGTCGTTTTGGCACTTTAAAGCAAGTGTCCCACATCGATTGCTAACTTACTTAGCCTACATTTCCTTTACTACTTCACAAAGTAAATAATATCGAAATAAATAAATACATTATTTACATATGTATATACACGTTTGTAGCTAGCAACTATCATACAAATCAAATTTCGCCGGAAACATTTACTAAGATTAAAATTTTCCTTTGTTAATTAACTTATAACTGCTCCGGAAGTACATAGGAATTGTTGTGGGCACGATTATCCGGTCAAAAATAGCATCCTGAATGACTTTCCGCTTACCAGTTCCAAAATAGTATGCTTGTATTATAAGCTTTGAACAATAGCTTGGATTCGTAGATCGCATATCCGTATTTATTTTGTAGGTCACATGTATGACTTTCTTGGCACCATTTTGTGGATTATAATACTTGCGATCTGCCCAACTCGCAGCATCTCTTGCTACGTTTCCATCTGGACAGCTATACACGGTCGTCCAATCGGATTTATGTTCCTCAAACCAATCATATTTATTAATTTGTCGATTGTTACTTTTTATTCCATTTTGCCATCCTGGCCTCCCTTTCATTTCAAGTACCCAATTATCTGAAGTTATAATAGCCACGTGCCCCACCAACCCCCCAATACCACGACCAGTTACAAGAATATCTCGTCTTTTTACTGTATTGACAAAACGACGCTTATTATCCACTGTACTTCGTTTACTTATTCTTCCTTTGAAAATAGACTCTTGTGTATCAATAATATACCATAGTTGTTTATTACGAGCCATTGTTCGTAATTAAGTGGGAGGCTGTCATTGATAAAAGAATATTCCTTGTAAAGATCTCTGAAAACCATTTGTTCGTCTCTAAGGAATGCATCGAATGGATATTTTTCTACGTTAACTATCCCCATATCGACACCGCTCATGTAGGCTCGAAAGCTTGTTTCATTCGATGATGAAATTTCGTCTGAAATATTAAATGCATTTTTAAGCTTCGACGTCAATAAACGGTTTGTTCGATGTTATCAATTATTTAAAAATCAATTGACACAATTTTAAAGAGAATATATAACACTTACATATAAATATTTAGAATTTTAATAACAGAGACTTTTTACTTACCAATGTGAGCATCTTAACAATTAATATTTCTTAAAAATATATTTAGTAAAATAAAATACATATATGAATATTTAATAATCATTTCAAATAAAACTATCTTTTCGGATTTTGTCGCGGATTTATTTGGATTTTTGTTTCCCGACGTTTCGAATGCTTTACAGGATCACGATCACGAATCAGCTTATATATTATACTAGTAAGTGATATTAACAAAGATACGATAAGATGTGAATCCCCTAAGTAAGTAATATGTGACTTTGTACATTTAGACTATTTATTTTAATTTATAAAATAGCTACGTTTCTTTTTAAAAAATAAAAAGAACCTCGGAAAGCACAATAAAGCCATCGGTCTTGAGCCTGATGTCTTACAGTTCGTGTCGAGTTGTCGTCCTACTGGATTTTGGGGGTGAAAGAAATACAGAGCGCACTTGTGTTTCGCATACCTACTCTTGTGCACTGTAATATTCCTGTGTAGTTGGCTAGTTTCAGTTATACAGTTAGCCCTAGATTTACACTGGGAGCACTCGCGGCTAGTGGCCAGGGCGGCAAATTTTTAGGGGCGGCGGGAAAAAAATTTCTTCGCATTATCAAAAATGCTTTTTTATTTTACAAAAAATGAATAATACAAAAAGATTAACTAGTAGGTACATTTTTCGAAAAATTGGTATCATTTATAATTTTTTTTTTTTTTTGCATTTTTCAAAAAATGTATAATTAAAAAGATGTTCACTTTTAACATTTTATTCAAAAGATATAATGAGATAATATGGCGGCGTTTTTTACTATGCCCTGGAGCGGCGCTAAGGTTAAATCCAGACCTTGTCATTGTCATTGTGTATAGAAAGAAGACCCATTCAACCATACCTACCTGAATGGTATTTATGATGATATATATATTTAGCTATCTACCGTGGGAAAATCTTTGTTTCAGAGGGCACAAGGAATCTGTGACAAGCAGCATCTGGCCGGAGAACTGCAATATGTTAAGCAAGTTGCGAGATAAGAAGGTGCTGATTCCACACCTGCATCACAGTGATCAAGTAGTATAGTTAAATATTATTACGGCACACATCTTAATATTTGTTTGTTATTCTTTCACGCCAAACCAGAGGAACAGAAAACAGCCAGAGGGATGGAGAGTGACCTAAATTACTTTTACTGGTAGAATTATATCTGCCTTCTATAGGAAAATGCAATGTTTAATTGATTTGGTTTTATGTAAGGAAATAGTCATTTAATGTGAAATAAGTATGCCTATCTGTAACGTCTATTTACCTATGAACGAACAGACCGAAGCGAGGATATGACACTATGTATCTTTACATAGTATAAAATGAAGTCGCTTCCGCTGTTTGTTCGCTTAGATTTTTTTAACTATTTTGATGCAGTTTTCAGCAATAGATAGAGTGATTTAAAAGAAAGGTTTAAATGTATAATACATGCATATTATAGTACAGAAAAGCCGAGATATTCAAAGATTTGTATTTCATACTAACCGTTAAAACGTACCTAGGGACGAAGGCGAGCGAAGCGAGTGTGAGTCGCTAGTATACAGTGTCATTTTTAATTTACTGAAAACCTTTTGGGAATATACTATTTACATCATAACAACAACATCTGTAACAAGAAAAAAATATATTTCTTAAATTTTTATTTTCATACAAAAATAAAAATATTTTTATTGCACCTTCTAAACCGTAAAGTTCTAGCATTTGGCCAAGTTTAAATGAGTAAGGGCCACTTCCTACACCCCTCCACCCCTCCCCCTCCACCGGTCACGCGATTTCTTTTGTTATTTGCTAGACTATTACCGTTTAGAAGGAGCAATAAAAATACTTTTATTTTTGTAAAATTTAAGAAATATATTTTTTTCTTACAGATGTTATGATCTAAACAGTATATTCCCAAAAGGTTTTCAGTAAATTAAAAATGACCCTGTATAATAATCACTGCATTTGTTTCAACTTTATTATGATTAATCTAAGTACTTCTTAGTACTAAAAATGACGATAAAAGACAAATATCAGTTATTATTACAATGAATTTTATGTAACACTCATTGGAGTATAATAATACTTTTGAAAACTAGCTATTTCCCAACCATTGTAAGATGTTGGTAGTTGCTCGGATTTCTTATTGAGTTGTATCAATAGCTGCTTTGTGCTACGGCGAAGCTATGTCATTCAAAGAAAGCTTTGCAACTTCAAACATTTATTTGTACGAACTTTAAAAATAAACAAAACATATTTTTATCATCAAAAATTTAAAAGTTGTTAAACAATAAGGAGACTTCGATTTTTTTTTGGAAAGATTTAAAAAAAATGAAAAAGTTTTATTGGATCTTTCAAATACATTTATTTTAATACTTTATATAACTTATCAAGCATAAAACATATTAATTAATCAAGGAAAATTTTTATAGCTGATTTTTTGACATAAACAATGTCCTCGTAAGCAGTAGCCGTCCGCTCTACCTCTTATGTTACATACACTTGTACAGTCTTGTCGACACGGTCTTCTTTCTATTTGAGCACCTTCTCCTACTGAAAAATAATTAAAAAAACAATTACATAATTTTTTTTATTTTCAAATTTAAATGGGACCAATTTAGAAGTATCCACTTTGAAACAAAACAAAAATAGTCGAAAAATTCAGGCAAATTGAGAACCTCCTCCTTTTTAAAGTCGGTTGAAAATAAAACTAGTAATAAAAAGTAGCCATAGAGCGGGATAGCTACAGAATATGCAAACTTTGTTTATTAGTTTGTCTTTATTACACACTATAACAAAAATCAAGATTTAGCTGTCAGAGTATCATATGGTATAAATTTTTAACGTAGTATATCAATCAAGTGGTTTTGCGCTTAAGCGATATAAATTATACAATAATTCATTCCATTTAATGGCCAATTGTTAGGCACGGACCTAGTCTCTATAAGGCAATAGTCCAACAACCCATGTGATTTTTGGTAGATTTCAAAATGTCTTTCGAAAGCTAATATGGGGACGGGGAGAGGGGAGAAGGGGGAGCAAGAGAACACGTTACCATTGGGCTATTGCTGCTGCTAATTACAAAAGAATAAAATTTAAACCTAGAAACAAATTAAAATATTTATAGGTAATTACAGAACTCTTAATATGAAAGCACTTATAGGTACTGCGATGTATCATATCGGATTTTTTTAATATAAGTATATTATAGATTTCTATTTTTTTATATAATTCTATCGAGCAACAAATTTTACTGTACTTTACAATACTAATCAAAACTTTTATAATTAGTCAACTTAAGTATAGAGTATAACTTATATAACTTAGAGTCAAATGCATAAACATAAATTATTATGTAACTAGGTGTATAGCGTATACTTACTTATACGAGTAATTTCTAAAAAGACTCTCTCAAAGAAGAAAGGACTAAAAAATACACCCGCTAAAATAGTAGAATTGGATACAAGATTGCTATTTGTTATAGTTGACCTACTTGGAAGATAATACCTATACAAGGGAGTTTTCACAGAAATCGGTGGTATTGTATTACGGAAGTAGGGCGCATGTTTACTTTATGAAAGAAATAAAAAAATATATCGAAATAGTTCACTGGATAGCAATTAGCAAATAGCTAAAGAATAAAAATTAATAATAAAATATTTATTTACAGTTAGCAATTAAAGATACCTTCTGTATGTCATTTTCAGTAAATAATAAAAATAAAATAAAAAATAAAATAAAAAATAAAAAAGCCTGTATTTCCTTATCCTTAATTTCCATTTCAAATGTTGGTATTTGTTTGTTAGTGTTTAGTTAGTTATTAATGTTTTGCTTATTGTCTAAATGTTAGTAATAGTTAGTTTTTGCTATTGGATAAGAACCCCTCCTCGGGTGAAGGCCTCCTCCAGTCCTTTCCACTTATCTCTGTCCTTGCCGATAGTTTGCCAGTCTTTTCCTATTAATTCGGTTATATCGTCAGCCCATTGTCTTTTCGGTCTCCCTACCCTTCTTTTGCCAATTGGCCCTTCCCACCTTGTAGTATTAATTGTCCACCTGTTGTCTGTGTATCTCGATACATGACCTGCCCACTGCCATTTCAATTTTAGAGCTTGTGTGAGGGCATCTGTTATCTTTGTTTTCTGTCTGATTACTTTGCTCCTGACTTTTTGTATTTTTCTTATGTTAAGGATACTTCTCTCCATAGCTCTTTGTGTTGTTGTAATCCTTTGTTTTGCTTTTGTTGTGTATATCCAAGTTTGGCAGCCATACAGTAGACAAGGCAGTATACAGGTGTCTAGTACCGTTTTCTTAAGGTGTATCGAGTAGTCTCCTTTTAAAATTTCTTTGAGTGACCAAAATTTCTTCCAGGCTATGTTTGTTCTTCTTTCAATTTCATCTTCATTGTGCGTTTTCAAAAATGATATTTGTTTGCCTAGGTAGATGTAACTGTGGACATATTCTATATATTTTTCTTTTACATTAATGGGCCGTTCTATGCTGTTTGTCATGATTTTGGTTTTTGTCGCATTCATCTCTAATCCTACTTTCGAGCTTGCTTGAGCAAGACAGCGGAGCATATCTTGTAATTCATTTGCTGTTTCAGATAGTATGACTATGTCATCCGCGAATCTGAGATGGCTGAGATAGCTGTTGTTTATTTTTATGCCTCTAGTTTTCCAGTTTGTGTTTCGAAATACATCTTCCAAAACCGCAATAAATAATTTAGGTGACAGGGGGTCCCCCTGTCTGACTCCTCTTTCAATTTTAATTGCATCGCCTCTAGATTCTAACATGACATTACTTATGCTGTTGTTGTATATGTATTTTATAATATTTATATATTTCGAATTTATGTTTAAATTTTGTAGTGATTTCCATATAGAATTGTGGCTTATACTGTCAAATGCTTTACTGTAGTCGATAAAACCTAGATAGAGTGGCTTATTAAACTTTACGTATTTTTCTATAACTTGTTCCAGTGCCTGTATATGGTCTAATGTGCTAAACCCAGAGCGAAAGCCAGCTTGTTCTATTGGTTGTGCATTTTCAATCTCTTGTGTTATGCGTTTAAGGATTATAGATGAGAAGACTTTATATATGTTTGCCAGTAAACTAATTGGTCTGTAGTTGTTGATATCTAGAGGGTTTCCTTTTTTATAAAGTAGTATGATGTCTGACGTGCACCATTGGATTGGTACGGTTTCAGCTTCTAGTATGAGATTGAATAATTCTGTGAGAGGTCTAAGTAAAACTGGTGCACCTATTTTCAAAGCTTCATTGGTTATTCCATCGGGACCAGGACTTTTATCTGATTTTAGTTGTTTCAGCTGGGCGTATATATCTTTTTCTTCTATCGGTCTGATTATTTCCATGTTATCACAATAGTGTGATTCGTTGGTTTCCTCGATGGTGTTATCTTTGTTTTTGTATAGTTCTTGGTAGAAAGAAGTTGCCTGCTGTATGATTTCTTGTCTCGTTTTAGTTTCTTTATGTTGGCCTTCTAATTTTTGTATCCAAGTTTTTCGTAAGTTTAATTCTTTAAATGCTTTCTTTGTGCTCCTGAATTTGTTTAGATTTTCTGTTATTATCCTTTGTCTGTGCTTACTATAGTCTCTTTGGATTGCTTTGCTAGTTTCCTTATATAATTTGCTTAGTTCTTTCTTTGTATTGGCATCCTTATTCTTTCTTATAGTTAGTTCGCTGCGTTTGTTAATTAAGGCTATTGTTTCTTCACTAAATATTTTATGTCGTTTTTCTTTTTTATTATTTTTTTGGCTAGTTAAACTCTTTGTTACAGTTCCTTCTATCGCATCATAGTAAGATTGTACGTTTCTGGTATCTACTGGTTGGTTTTCGATGTTCAATTTGAGGCTATCAATGTAATGTCTTGTTTCCTCTTCAGTTTTCGGTATTTTTAGAGGTGGTTTAAAACCTTTTCTACTTTTTTTTTGATTGGCTCAATAGGACTGTTGCTCTAATTAGTCTGTGGTCTGTTCTGAACTTTACGTTGTTGAGAACGTCATAATTTTGGATTAATCTTGGGACATTTGTCATGATGTAGTCAATTTCGTTTTTAACACTTTCGTCTGGTGACTTCCAAGTCCATCTTCTGCTAGGTCTTTTTTTGAAATAAGTGTTTATTATTGCTAGTCTATATTCAAATGCATATTCTAGCAATCGTTCGCCTCTTTCGTTTCTTTGACCTAGCCCATACTGTCCCATGACGAGTTTTTCTTCTTTTCTTGGTTGCCCTATTTTTGCATTGAAGTCTCCTAATATTATGATTTTCTCATCAGCTAGTGTGTGAGCTTTTTTCAGATCATCGTAGAATTTTTGTATTTCTGTATTGTCAGATCTTTCCGTAGGTGCGTATGCCTGGATTATAGATATGTTTAGTCTGCCAAATTTCATTTGTAATAACGCTACTCGCTCCGAAATGCCAGTAAAGTTAGTTAAATTATTTTTCCATGACTTTTTTACTAAAAATCCGACTCCATACAATCCCTTTGTTTCTCCTATATAGCAGAAAACATAGTCTGAATCCTCTTCTATGTGGCAACCCATTTTTCTTGTTTCTGATAGTCCTAGTATGTCGCAGTTTATATCTTTCAGTGCATTATTGAGTTCTAAGTACCGGTGTATTGATGACAGAGACCTGACATTATAAGTTCCAATTTTTATACAATTCTTAGAGTCTTTGTTCAGTTTAGTGGTTTTTTGTTTTTGTGGTTTTCCTGGAGGGTTGTGGTCGTACTCTTCCACGGAGACCAGCCGGCTTGGAAGATGTGTGTTATGTGTTGATGTAGCTTTTTCAGTTTGTTTGTTGTTTTCTGGGAGAGGCTGTCTGGTTCGTTGCTATATATTTGTGGTGTTGGCTTGTGTGTTTGTTTTGTTATTATTGTTTTTATTTGTTAGATAGTTTAGTATGCTTGTTTTTTCTACGCCTTCGGAAAGACTTGAAGACCTTTGTACTCTGTGGGCGGCCAAGGTTTTGTTCTTTTTGGTTGCTTGATATATCTTCTCGGTATGGTTGTTTGTGTTATTCTCTGGAGATTTTGATAGGTTTCTTTTATTGTTTTTCGGTTCTTTGGATGAATTATTTAGTAGAATAAGCTTGTCGTATTTAATAATGGCTGTATTGCCCTTCTCTCTTTCCGCTTTAACTTGTTCCTGTAGCTCTCTTCTTTTTTGTAGGACTGATTGGGGGTAGTCTTCTTTTATATAATACGGTGTTTCTTTTAGAGCTCCTTTGCCTTTTAAAATGTCGATCTTCTTGCCAAGTGTTGTGAACGTAATCACTATCGGTCGTGGTTTTCCAGTCCTCTTCCCTATTCTTCTGATCGCTTGTAAATCTCTATGGTCTATTTGTATTGGGAAGTATTTGTGAACAAAGTCTACTATAATATTTTCTAAATTTGAGTAGGATTTTTCGTGTTCTTCCAAGCCAAAGAAGACTAGATTGCGCTGTCTTGATTGTCTCTCCATATAGTATAATCTTTTCTCTTGATTTTCCACCCTCGACTTAAGGTTTTCGTGTTTTTCTTCTAAGATTA